GGGAATGTGAGACACTCCGGACCACCAGCTGGACGCATCAGGGCTTCGTCGTGCTGCCCAGACGGCAATATTCCCCTGACCGAACCCCGGACCGCCCGTCCCTGCCAGGTGTCCGCCTTTGCTTCCTGAGGACCTCCCACTACCCGGCCGGGTGGGACTGGGTTCAGTTGTGAAGACCCTGTGTCCCTAGTTCCTTCTCCTCCTCCCCCCACCGCCGCCCTGCCCCGCCCCCTGGCACACACACAGCCCTGGCTCTTGGCAACGTCCTTTCCTCAACACTTGACCTCGAGTTCAGACTCTGCCTGGGTCTCCTCCCAGCTGGTTGTCTTGCTTCAACTTCCGACAAAAGCTGACTCTGAGACACAGACCTGAGTGAGGTAGCCATGGGGGAGGTCATCCGAGGCACGGTGAGGAAGTCGGGAAAGGAGGCAAGAGGGAAAGAAGAGCCTAGAATGGGGAGGCTAATGAGCGGGGGGTTATGACCTTGGGCAAGAACCCTCTGAGATGGCAGAGAACACCAACCTCAAAACTCACCAACCGAGGGCTAAAGACAGCTGATCATCTACCTGCTCCCAGCTGCCTGGGCTGAAGGCTGATCTTGGGAGTTAACTCTCCACCACGTCCACCTGGCTGTGTCCTGGCCGTGACCTCTGTGGCCCAGGAAGTCCTGCAGCCCAGGGGTGCAGGGGCACAAGGGAAGAAGTCATTAGGGTATTCAGAAACTGTCAACTGAAACAACGGGTGACCTCTGCGGGGGTACACACGACACGGCTTCAGAGCCAGCAGCGTCTGCTGCTGTGAACAGACTTTCTGAACTGGCCAAGTTTTTCTCCAGACGTTTAAGGGCACTTTCCACCCCACCTGTCCACCACCCTGGCCTTGATTTCCTCTCTGAGAAAGTGAGAGACCGAGGAAGGAGAAAGTATGAACGTCAGACACAGTGGTGGTCTGAAAATTCCCTCCCACGCTTCATTCATAGCGCCTCCGCTGTAACTGACCAGGCTCCTGCCTTTGGCTGGGTTCCCCAGAATGCACCCCGAGATGAACACTGGTGTGTGCTCGAGATTTATCAAGGACATGCCCCCAAGGGAGACTCATGAGGTGAAGCGGCAGGAGCAGGAGAGAAAGCCAAGGAAAGTCTGAGCAGCAGGGGTGGCCTCGGCCTGACCCCACGGGGAGCTCCAGGGTGGACCTTCGACCTCAGAGCTGGCCTGGGCTCTCAACTTCCCCTACTGACAAATTACTGGGGAGGGCCACTCTGGGAGGATGTAGTCTCCCAGGCCTTCTGGTTTCCCACCAGTGCGGGCAAAGCAGGCTCCACAACCCCAGCGGCAGTGCCCACCCTTGGGATCGAAAGTGCCCCTGAGCGTGGGAAGGGGCGTGGGGGTGTGCACAGGGCACCGATGTCATCTGCCACGGCCTCCAGAGAGACTTCCACTGGAACAAGTTCCAATGTTCGAAAGCGGCTGGACACCAGCGGGCCAGAGGAGCCCTCGAGAGTTGTTTGTTGGTTTTCTGTTTCCCTCCCTGTTCTGGACGTTTGTCATTCTTCCGCACAGAGTGGCAGGCCCATGCTGGGGACAAGGGTCCTAAATGTTCCCATTAGGGTTGGAAACAGTTCCCAAGTCATACCCACAGAGTGCCTGCAGCAAAGGCCCAAACACAGCTGGTGGCAGCAATTGTCAGGTCAGAAAATCTAGTCGTAAGAAGAGAAGAAGGACTGAGCCTCGCCCATCAGAGATGACACGGGAAAGAAGGCATTGCAACTTCCCCTCCCCCCCACTCCCCTCCCTCTTGCCTTCTCTAGAGGTTTCGGCTGAGAACAGGAATTAAGAAGGTGCCAACTCCCACGTTGCAAAATGCTCTCCATCGATGCTATATAATTGCATTGCATTTCCATTCAATAATTCTTCAGAATAAACCTTAAAATATGCAAAATGAGAAATAAAGATGTAATTGAAAGCTGCTAAAAGTATCTTGAAAAAGATATATCTAATCCTCTCCCTTCTGGGTACCACTTTGAAGTTGAGTAAATTTTCTTGATTCTTAAAAAAGATAAACTAGAAAAAGGATGTATGGCGGAGTCCTCTGGACAATCAAAATCTTTATCTTAAAATGTAAAAAAATTTGTGAGTTCACCATTTCACACATATTTATCCCAAAAGTACTGTCATATTCCAGGACATGGTCATATTTCCTTTAAAAGAATTAAAAAAGGGAAGGTTTTGGAGCCAACATTGGAAATACCCATTTTCCAATCTCAGGATGCGTTTTATCACCGGCAATCAGAACAATATCAGAGGCACGCGTGCGTTCTGACCGTGCATAAAAAGGGAACCTGTTCTTTCTGAATTGCCAACAGCAGAAAACGCCTTCAAGATCGAATGGGATGTCAAAACCAATTAAGTTCTTGCTCTTGCTCATAACCATGGGTAAGCAACAGCCAGAGCTTGTCAGGAGTGAGATCCTGCTGATACTAACTCCACTCGCCCATTCAGTAACGGACAGAGGGTCCCCTGGGAGCCGGCATCGCCCTGAGCGCCGGGAGGAACACTGCGGTGAGCAGACCTCCGAGAGGCGAGAGGCGCTCAGATGCTGAAATAGCAGGCCCATCGTTTCCTGAATCGGGAATGCGTCTCGGAAAGATGTTTCCATTTTTAATACTCTGCTGCTCTGATAAAAAAATGTTCTCCCAGCTTCCCAAAAGGAGAAGTAACTTGGGGAAACCAATCAGTGGTCGCTTCACACATTGTTACAGCAACAGAAAAACTAGTAGGTTCTTAATTAAGGCAGAGGGAGGGTGGGAGAGCAGCCTGCAAACGAAGGCCCGCACGGCTGGATGCAGAAGGGACAAGTCTCCTTGTCTGCTGTGCTGTCCGAGACCCCCTTCCGTGAGGGCAGCGTCTGCAGGTGAAGAAGGTGTTTCACCCAGGAGGCCCAGCTCCACGCACTTCCTGCCTGGGAAACAGGCCAGCATGCACCAATGAGGCCTGAGGGAGATTTACCATCAGCCACGTTGAGGGAGGGACGGGCTAGGTGTCGGCCCTGTTCTGAGAAGGCACGAGCTGAGCTGCAGCGTGGGGAGGGGAAGCAGCGTGGGGACTCAAGTCCCACGCATGTGTGGTGTCCGACCCTTTAGCCCTGGTTCACTTTTAACTCCTAAAATGGGGTCTGGGCGTGTCCAGTCCATTTATCACCCATCTTTTTTTTGTTTCTTTTAAACCACTACTATACCTTAAATGACACAAGGCAGTCATGTTAATTGGAAGAAGAAAAGGAAGCGGGAGGAGGAAGAAGATGAGAAACACGGGAGAGAAGTAAAGGAAGACACAGAAGCAGCACCAAGGAGAACCTGCTGGGTCTCCACCGCCCGTGGGCCATCCGGTCTCGTGTGAATGCAGAAGAGGCTACGTAACAAACCCCACAGGCTCAGGCGGGCCCAGTGGCCATCCTTTCAAACTCAGAGACCGGACGTAACCACGCAGGGTAATCTGATCGTAAATTCCTAACTGGACAGGCCGTGGCCAGCAGTCACGTCTCAGGCCTATCGCTTCCTCAGCAAAGGTCAATCTTGACCTCAAGTGAGCCCTGTCCATTGTTCTAATGTGTCTAGAATAACATGCTTTTGAAATGTCAGAGTCATTTTCTTTCCCAGGCCCCTGGAAGGCACAACCGCTGGCACCAGACGCAAGACCTTGAAACTCCTCCTGGTCAGCCTGTGGCCTGCCCACCATCCTTACATGCCATGTCGTAACTCCCCTGCACCCACCTGCACGCACCACCTGCACCCGCCAGCACCTGCCAGCACCCACCAGTGTAAAGACAGCACGTGTCTCTCCATTTTGCTTTTCAGCCAGTCCTAGAGATTTCTCCACTTTACTTTCTCCCACCACCTCAATCTTACCACTAATAGATTTCACATAACTTTCCTTACCTTTTCTCCTTCAATTCTAAATGTATAAAATAAGCTACAAAACAGCTATTCTCCGGGCAGGTCCTCAAATCTTGGCTCAGACAAATTCTTATAAAGCTTCCTACAAGTCTGGACATTCTTTCATCAGCATTCAACAGGGACAATATAGCCCCTAAGGGCACAAAAATTGGTCCTTATTAGGGGAAAAACTTACTCTGCATGTACATAAAGCACAGCTATTTGTCCATACAATACATGAACAGATAAATATACAGTATATCTGTAGTATTAAAATTTTACTAGGAAACAACATTAGGGGGAAAAACAGTTAAAAAGGGCTCCAGGGATAGAGGGGTAATAATTTCTTTAAAGTTGGGAAATACTGCCATGGAGACCAATCTTCACACATCAGTAGCTATCTGCACAAATTTTCCCAGCAGGCTCTGCTTTCTTTTACAAAACAAATGGCGTTGTGTGTGCATGTTGTACATTTCCCTGTCATTATCATTCATGTTATTGAATAATAACATGATATTATTATTCATAATAACATTGTATACCATGAACAAGGCAGTTTACACATGGTATCTGATGCGATTTGCGTCCTTGTTTCAGTTGAAGAGATTGAGGTTTAGAAAGGCGTGGAAGCCTGCCTCAAAATCTCTTAGGACTTTGAGCCAAGATTTGAATCCATTTCTTAAGATCCTTGGGTTTACCTTGCTCTTTTTTCCTAGCCTCTTGAGTACAAAGCTTAGTTCATTTCTTTTCTTTTTTAGTTTTCTACTAGAAGCTATACATTTTCCTCAGATACCCCTTAGGCTGCATCCCAAGGTGTGTTTAGGGTCTCCATCAGACAGACACAAGAAGATCTTCCTCGCATTTGCAAACTTGTCCCCTCAATGGGCGACTGAGGGACAGGACTTCGTTAGGCCTGCAGAGCATTCCTTTCCATGTGACCTAGTGGCTTCTTAGGTGACACTGACGACCTGTCCCTACACCGGCCTTCAACAGATTTCCGGCCCTGGATCTGGCAGCAGGAGGCTGTCACAGGCACGCCCTCCCAGGTGAGCTCCTTTACCTTGACCTTGTTCCAGACCCCAAGCCCAGTCTCCGTACTCAGAGGTCCTGTTCACAGAGTGAGCGCAGTGGGAACCGAGGGGCTGACTGTTCGTTTAAATCAGCAGCAGGCAACCGGCAGCAAACAGACCTTGAGGAGAAATGACAGTAAGAAACATCAGTCTAGTTTTTGCCATGAATGCCATCATAGTTTTTGTTTTGATCTTTCGAAAAGGAGAAGGTGGAAAATTCCCGCCCACCCGAGCCCTGCCGGCCACAGAGTGGAACGAGAGCACATGTGCGAGCAGGCAGGTACGTGGGGCCCAGCAGCCGAGGGTCTGCACAGAGCCGGCCCGGCCTCCTGGAACCCTGCGTCCTGCAGAGCGCCAAGAAAGAGGCTCCACGCGCACTCCGCCCCTCCCTTGGTAAACCACTCCAAGCACGTGGGCAGTCTCCCTCCACCGCAGCTATGCCTGGAGTTGGCCTGGTTCCTTCTCGGAGCCTCTTCCCATCGCCTGCAACTGCGGGCCACTCTTTGAGCCCTCTTAGCCCAGGTCAGGCTCTGCTCTTCCTGGGAGAGCAGTGCAGGAAAGCAGTCTGCTGTCTTGTAAAACTTGTTCAGCCAGAAACTTGGCTACAAGGGTTGCTATGGCAACCTCAGCAGGTGCTCCAGGAGAAAGCTGCATTTCCTGCTGAAGTGTGTGTGTGTGGGGGGGGTCTGCAGCACAGAGGCAAAGAATGGCATTTACTGCTAAGACAGGGCTAGCTGCTCCACCTATGACCCTGGGACCACCCCATAAGCCATGTCCCTTGTTCCCAGGTGAGTGGACCCCGGACACCACGGCAGCATCAGGACAGCGTGGAGCTAGTCCTTTTCAAACGGTCTGAATGAGATCCACGCTGTGGAACTCTCCCCCTCAAAGTGTGTCTCCCCCAAACTTTATGGGAGCACCGTTTCTTCCCCATCTCTCAAGCCAGCGGACCCCCAGGTATCCATAGATGGATGGGACACCGTGCCTGTCAACTCGGAAATGTTAATGGCAGGTGACAGGTGTGCTGTGACTGCCTATGGGAATCGGGTGTACCTTTGACCGTCAGTTTACTTCATCTTTTTGAAATTAAGTCCAGAATTTCTACAAGGTGTATCATTAGACAAGAATTAGAGTTTTCAAATCTCATGTAGTGCACTCAGAGTTTGTAAGAAGTTCTGCATCCTCAGCACCTATTTACGTAATTCAAGAGTTGTGTATACTTTGAGTGGTATTTACTTAATAAACTATTTTAAACTCTTGGGTATAAAATGTCTGTATCCCATGTAACAAAAAATGTAAAAGTGTTAATATGAGGTTTTTTTAGAGGCAAAATGAAACTCTACACAGATCCCCATCCTCTCAGATATTAACACCAAGAGATGGACTAAGTGCTGATTATGTACTTAGCTCTTTCTAAGTGTCATGTGTGTTCTTACTCACTGAATCCTACCAATAACAGCACAAAGTAGACATTACTATTATTATGTCCATCTTACAGAAAAGGAAATGCAGACACAGAGAGAAGCCCCCCGGAACTACTGGAGACATCAGGATGCAGTGCCACCGCCCTGTCCCATAACCCTCCCTGGGGTTCTCCCCAGACCCGGTCTGCCCTGGGGTGGGGCAGGGGATGGAGATCCCTGCTCACAGCCCACCCTAGGGCACTCTTCTCTGTCCCTCCCCCCCTCCTCCAGCTCTCTGGCTCTCCCCTCCTCACCCCTCCTGAGGATCTTACTTCCTTTGGGGTAGGAAAACAAATTCTTTCAACATCCCACACTCCCTCAGAAACTATTGTTTAGGGTGTAAACTTTGGGCTGCCAGGGTTCGAGCCGTCTACAATTTTGAAAGTCTTATCTCTCAAAGTCACGGCCTCTGCCACGAGCTTCAAAAGTCTGTTTCCAAACCCGAAGCTGAGCATTGGCTCGTTTCTATCTCTACGTCTCAGTCTGCACCCGAGGAGATAAGCCTCCGCCTCGTGGGTTAATTTTAGCAGAGGAAGGACCATAGGTTAAAACGAATGAGTAAGAATGAAGGTACTTTAGCCCTGACTGGCATAGCTCAGTGGATCGAGCGCGGGCTGCGAACCAAAGTGTCGCAGGTTCGATTCCCAGTCAGGGCACATGCCTGGGTTGCAGGCCATGGCCCCCAGCAACCGCACATTGATGTTTCTCTCTCTTTCTCCCCCACTTCCCTCTCTAAAAAATAAATAAATAAATAAAATCTTTAAAAAAAAAGCATGAAGGTACTTTAATTAAAATTTCAGAATATTATCCCTCTACACATTGTACCTGGGAATAAAAAAATTATTAATTGCATTTGTGGGAAATACATGAATAAGTAAATAAAATTTGTTAATATTTTAACTAACAATGGCATATGTTATACAAAGTAAAGCTGATGGATCAGCCCTCTGTCAGAGTACTCTCTCTCAACATCCACTCTTCACAAAATCACCCCAAGTTTTAGCTTCCCAACTAGAGATCACGTTTCCCGCCTTCCTAGAGCTAGGTGTGACCGTCTGACCAAATCCTGGTTCAGAGCACTTCCGCTTACCGGCCCTGTGAGCTTGAACATGTCCTAGGGGCTCTGTCACAGAATCAGAATGTCACCACCAGAGAGAACCATGGAGACGAGCCACCCAGAGGCAGGGGATGGACCAAAGCCCAGAACTGTGAAGTGAGCTCGCCAGGCTCCCCACGAGTCATGGAAAGGGCTGGATCTTGAACCCAGTCACCTGCTGGCTATAGACAGTCCTTGACACCACCCTACAGCTCTCTCCCCTTCTCTTCCCTAAGTGTCAGCTTTTTCTTCTGCAGTGTGAGGCTAATAAGAGTCTAACGTAGGTAGTGGACAGAGTGAATGTTCGCCTCCACCTATTCTGTTCCACCCCTCCCCCACTGAGCACTGAAAACATAGTTTGAAAAATCGACCCTTACTCCAGAGGTAGACCCTAATTCGTCTCAGCCAGTTTTAGTAACTTTGTTTCCCCTGCGAGTGATTCATTCGGCAGCCCAGGCCTCGGCTAATCAGCACTTGGCATTCTCTTGGTCCACAGTTATTGGATAAGGTGTGGGCACATGACCTAAGTTGAACCAATCAGAATTAAGGAAAGATATTTGCTTTTCGGAAAGGAAGAAGTGCCCTTGTGCCTTCTTGCCCTCTTCCCTCTCCTCCTCCTCCTACCTCTCTCTCCCTTCCTGCTTCCTCTCCCTAAACAAAAAGGAGTTCTCCTGGAGAGCTGATTGAGATCTGTAACCATCCTACAACCTAAATCATTCTTGCCCTGGGTTGTGAGCTTAAATGAGGCAACATCAGCACTGAGCACAGTGCCTGGCCCATGAAAAGTGCTTAGATGACAACAGCCAGTCACACGGTGACAGTGCGTCCGCAGCCATCCTGACTCATAAGGAAATCACCACGTGATTTCATTCTGTTCCTCCTAGTCAAGTTGTAAGGGCGCCTTTACCGCCCATCCCAAGCAAACAGTTCAAATTCCCCGCCCTCTATCCAGAGAGGTGCCAGGGGCGCCTGGTGGACTATTTTCCAGCCTCAGATGAGTGGGCATCTACACTTAGGGAGGAGAGGGTACTGCTCCCTTCCAGTTCCACTCTGTTCCTCAACCTAAAGACAGAGGGACCTTCCTCTGCCCTGTGCTCTGAGCATTCACGGCCCCTCTGCGCCTTCCTCCCCATTCGGCCTTTCCTCCCCAGCACACCAGGGAGCAGGAAGCCTCACTCCGCAGCACACATCCTGTTGGTCAGTGTGGCCTGCAGCTCCCTTAAGCCTTTGGCTCTGCCTCATTAGGGGAAAAAAAAGTAGCTTTCAGGGTCCCTGTGAGAGAAAAGGAGGGGTAGGAAAAAAAATAATAGGACACATAAAGATAGATTCTCCACCTTTTCCAGAAACAAACGCATTTGCCCATTTGAAGCATCTAATCAAAGCATCTGGCTCATTACAAGTCATAACTATTTGTTAATACATTCATTGCAAACATGGCCTGATTCTCTGCCTCTGCTCATATCTTTGCTTCTTTGCAATGTGACTTTGCCGCTTCTACCATCAAGAGGTGGAAACTACCTCCCCATCCCTTGGGTCTGCGCCAGCTTGTGATTTGCTTTGGCCAATAAGATGGGGAGAAAGGGACGGAGTTCCAGAGTTGAGTGAGGCCTTCGGCTGGTGGCCTTGCAGGCCTTTTCTCCGTCTTAGCACCCTGCCTAGCTACCACGATAATAAGCCCAATCCAACCTGCTAGAGGATGGGTGATCATTCGGAGGAAAGACAAGCCCACCCAGGGACTATAAAAGCATGAGTGAGCCCAGCTAATATCAACAGAACATGGGCAAGATAAGCAGAACCACCAGCCCATCCACACACTCATGACCTGGCATAAATGCTTATTGCTGTATGCCACTGAATGCAGCAATAAACGTTTTCCTGGCTTGTTTTTTGATGCAATATACTTGTGGCAATGACAAACTGATGTTGTTGTTGTTTTTTAACCATTACTATTCTTTTAAACAGGCAGTTGGCTGCAGAGGAAAGAGCAAGTCTATGGGGCAGGCTGCAGACAGAGCCCCCTGACCAGGTTGGTCAGGGAACCAGAGAGAGGAGATGGGGGACCAGGAGGACAATGGTGCTGCCTGGCTCTGCAACCGTGGCCTCGCATAGTTTAACGGTCTTCCGATCTTTGCCCGCATGCGCGTCACCAAAAGAATTCTGAGGATCAAAACGTCCCATCGCCTATTTTTAAGGTCACGTGCAAAAGTTTTCATAAGTTTTAGTGATTGCAAGGGATATAATTTTCTGCAAATGTTGGCATTTGAACATGAAACTATCAGTCTCTTAAAACACTAAAGGGAATCTGGAACTCCCAATAATCTCGCACTCGCCACCCAACTTAAAGTATGTGAATAAGCTCTTCCTCACTGTTGAGACATTGTCCTGCTTTCGTTTTTCTCCTTGAATTTAAATTTCTTTTCTACTTCCTTCTCAAACCTTTAACATAATTTAACTAAATGTTAAATTTGAAAACCTTTTATTAATGTATAGCCACCCATTATACATTAAAGAAACATTAAATATATATTTAAGTTCATTAAAAAATGTATTTTATTCTTGTGACCTTAAAGCTCTCTGTGTTTTTTAAAAAAACTGCTTCTGAATTAAATTATCACACAATCGAGCAAAACTGCAAAAAAATTACCAATTTTGATGACTTTTTAAACATAAAAAGTTAAATATAATTGGAAATGCATCTCCTAATGAGATGAAATACGGTCTAACTTTTCATATGCATTTAATGAAATAGAAAGGTATATTCTGCTGGAAACTAATCAGTCTAGAAGCCACAATAATATTATCCTTCTTAATAGGAGGCAGAAAAGATTAAATATTTTACGTGGTAAAATAAAATGAGCATTAGCTCTCACCGGATTATTTTGTGATAGGATTTCACAAAAGAGGATTTTAAATGATCTTACTGAATAGCATCCAAAACAAGCCACCTAAAATTTTCATGGGGGGGTTTTGCCGGACATGTCCTGAGAGTCGGGAGTGTCCCGGCCGGCCCCTCAGCCGTGTTCACACGAACCAGTGTCACTCACTACGCTGCATTCCCAGGCTGGGCTTCGCTGGGCTCCCCTTCAGCTGAAGACCTGACCTGGGACTGGTCCTGAGTGCGTCTGGAAAGGATCGCTTCCATTTAATTAAGTGCATTCTTTAAGGCTGAGTTCTTTCCTCTTTAGCACTTGATGCTCCTGACTAACGTTCTTTTCACCTTGTTGTCACTGGACTCTCCTTAGAGAAGGAATATCATCCTGGCTCCTACCACTCAGGCGACTGTATGTCCATATTCAGGACATCTAATGCACCACAACGCTGTTTCTTAGGCTGTCTTGCCCTTAACATGCGTAAGACGGGGAAATACGAGAGTCCACAGGGTAATGGAATCCTGACTAAGCAATGAAGGACTTTTCCCCCTATTTGTTTCTGTTCTCCCGCAGGTTTTCATAGTCAGAGGAGGGGGTGGTAAGTGAGGGGTATGTTGTTTTTTTAAAAAATAATAAAGTAGAAGAACCGATTTTGCAAATTCAGATGCAGTCTCATGCAAATCGAATTGGAAAAACGTGTGTGGAGATTAAGGAGCTAGGAAGTGGTTCCTTTGCAACAACGCATGCTCAGTGCCCCTTGAGACCTTCTCACAGGCCCCTAGGGGCTACTGCCTTCACTCACTAGGCACTTTCCTATCCATACAAAAGGCCCTCACATCCGCTCTCACCACATCCTGCCACACTGGGTTGAAGGGAAGAAAGGGGACTCCCGCATCCATGTTACGCAGGTGGAGACAGAAGCTAGGGAACGTGAGGTGACTGTCCCAGAGCCATGCATGCAGACGGGGACAGCACCAGAGCCCCAAATCCAGGGCTCACACCTCTCAGCCCTTAGTTAGATCAGGACCTGTCCTGGATGCTCCAACATGCTGAATGTCCTCTGTCGCCACCCCTGGTCCAGCCTGTGGGGTGTGGCCCTGGAGTGCCTGCACCCGTGAGGCTCCAAAGTTGAAATAACATTGATGAGCTATTCAAAAAGAAGGATATCTATATTGACTGATGGATGCATACGTAGCTAGATGGATCCACAGAGAGGGATAGAAAGAGAGTAAGTAATGACATAATTCCTCGGGGGACTACCTACTTCCAGCATAAAAAAGTAAGAGAGACGAACATAAAACACCACGTTTTGACTCTCATTTGCAGTGTGTGCAACTGTCTCTTTACCTGTGGCCCAACCTACAGAGAGCGCCATCCAACTTTCACACAGTCCCCAACCTGAAAACTTTAACACCAGCATCTTGGGGGGTTTCATTTTCAGCATTTTTTCTCTTTGGGTTGGAAGGCACCAAATGCTTACACAGCCATAAGGAAGGGGCCTCGGCTGCCAGCCGTACCTCAGCCCAGTGGAGAAGGCCAGTCTGGGGGACGGTCAGCCGCAGGCAGAGAGACACAGGCTTGAGAGAGACAGGAAAGGGAGGGAGAGTCCCCAGCTCCAGACACCTGCCCCCGCCCACACTGGACTCCACAGCCCGTGAGTGCCCTCTCTGGAGCTAAGCTGGTTCAAGCTGGGGTTCCGGTGACCCACGTCCAGGTCGAGGGGGCTCAAACAGCCCCTTCAGGCTACTGTGATCTGGTTGCCTGGTGGACTGGCCAGCTGCCTGGCTCCGAACCAGCACCCTTGTCAGAAGATGCTGCAGGGACAGCACAGCCCCCAAGGACACTGGTTGATGGTTTCCAACACAGTGAACCCACACAACTGTAGGGACTAGTGATGCCACTCCTGGGTATGTCCCCCAAAGGATGGAGCTGCTCTGATCACAGTAAACCAACCTTGGAAACTACCCAAATGCCCATGAACAAGAAAATCAAAAGAGAGAAGGAAAACAACGGAGGTATTTCTTCTGATGAAAGACCACGCGGCAATACAAATGAACAAACTACCGATCCACGTGATGTCGTGGGAGAATCTCACAGGCACAATGTGGAGCCGAAGCCAGGTGTAAAAGAGTGTATTTCGTCTGTTTCCATTTTTATGACGTTCAGAGACAGGCAGAACTGACCTGTGGAGACGAGGTGAGCACACTGGCTGCCCTGCCGGGGGCATGTCCTGGAGGAGGCAGGAAGGCAGCCTTCTGGGGCAATGAAACATTCCACTGCTTGGAAGTCACATCGGGTGTTTACGACTGTCAAAATGCATTAAGGTTTCCATTTTTTAATTATGCCTAAAAAAAAAAACAGTCAAAGAACATCATTAACAACAAAATAACCCACTGTAGAGGACAGAAGCAGAAATTTGGGGGGATCATTTCCTCCAGCCAGAGGCAACCCCAAATCGGTCCCGGCTCAGGTGGCAGCCCCTGGGGGTGGGAGACGAGGTCTTCATTCTCAGGGTGTGCACTTGGCTGTGGTCTCACAGCTCCGGGAAAATATCCCTCAGAAGCAGCCCCTCTCACCCGAGTTTGCTGCTCAGATATTGTCCCTGCAGGTGGGGCTGGTGCCCGGCAGCCCATGGCTCTGGGTCAGACAGACGGACATCTCCACCCTGGCTGGGCCTCACAGCTCATGTGAAGGGCAGGACAAGGGCTGCCTTGCAGGGTCATTTTGGTAATTCCCGACGTCAGGCTAGGAGGTCAGGCATCACCCGTTCTGCACGCATGAAAGCTGCTTTATGATTTGTGAACAGGAGCTGCACGGACTGAAGGTGAGGCCTTGGCTCCCGGGTGTGAGGGGTGGAGGGGAAGGCAGGGCAGTTCTGTGCTCACCAGGCCGAGTCCTTGAACACTGTGCTCCCGGGTTAAGTTAAAGCTCCACAGTGGAATTCACTATGAGTGGCCCCCACCTTCTTCCAGCCATTAGAGAGTCATTTGGAATAGGAGATTTGTGTCCCAAGCCTCATCCACTTCCAACCTTCTAACAGAGCAGTGCGCAGGACCTCAATGGGGGCCAGGAAGGCCCGGTGGAGTGGGGGCCCTAACCAGGATGGCAGCACGGAGGAGCTGGAAGGGCCAAAGGGTGAAGGAAGGAGCTATTGAGAGGTCCCTGAGGGCGATGAGAATGCAGCACCCGGGTCGCCTCCAGGGCAGTCTGGGTGAGGGCCCTGGGTGCCAAGCACAGCCGTAGACTGCATTACACAGGATCATAGCTACAAGCCCCTCATGGCCGGCAAGCACTTGAGACCTGGTTGGTGCAGCAGAAAAACTCTACTTTTAATACTCTCAATTGTAATTAAAGTGGAAATGGAAAATCTGAAGATAAAAATATTTTCCACTGAACACAATTTCATTTGATATCATCATGTATTTTGTATCATGAAAATCATGAAAATTGGGAAAAAATTTCTTCACCTAGTATTTTTATAAAGATTTTATTTATTTTTAGAGAGGGAAGAGAGGGAGAAAGAGAGACACACATCAATGTGCAGTTGCTGGGGGCTGTGGCCTGCAACCCAGGTATGTGCCCTGACTGAGAATAGAACCTGCGACACTTTGGTTCGCAGCCCGAGCTCAATCCACTGAGCTACGCCAGCCAGGGCCTTCACCTGGTTATTTTTAACGTGGCTACTAGAAAACTCAAAATTATGTAACAGGCTCATATATGTTTCCATTGAACGGGATGTCCTAAGAGGTCAACACACCCGCTTGATTCCGTTCCGGCCCCTCCCGGCAGGCAGGTTTGTGCTGAGCAACCCAGCGGTCATCCATTTGTTTGCATCATCGCACTGACCATATTCACGCAGGCTCAGCCGTTAGAGTTTGCTCATCAAACAAAGTCATCCAGTCATAAGTTTGGAAAAGGAAAGAAACAGATACACAGGATTCCTGGCACCCAGCTCCTGTCTGGGATCCCGCTCCCCGGGCACAGGCCCCAGAGTCCAGAGAGATGTGAATGAACCACGGCTGCTCCACTCTTAATTCCTGGAACTCCACCAGTCCTGGGTTTTCAAAGTCCCAGCCCCCCCCCCACCCCACTCCAGCCATTGGTTCCCAGGTGGGGCCTGCGCACAGAAGGAGGTCCGTTTTCAGAGCTATTCTCGATGGCTGTGTGGATACCCAGTCAGACACCGTTCGTGAGACAGCAGTGCGCCTGCGTGTGTGCGTGGCTCCGCCCCCTTCACTGGGAGGCAAGAGAGGGGGATCTCACAACATGTGAACAATTGTTTCTGTCATGTAACATGCTGGTGGGGTGTCTAATCACAATGTTGTATACCTGCAACTAAAATATATTACATGCCAACTATAATTGAGAAATAAATTTTAAAACTAAAATTGAAAAAATGAATTAGGAAAGAAATATAAAAGATGAAAAGGTTATCATTCTAAGACATAAAAAAACTCTTATAAGTTTATTTTTAAAACATTATCATGCCCTAGGAAAAAATAAGCAAAGGAACTGTAGAATTAGGTCACAAAAGAATGAATATCAGTGACCACTGTAAGCATATAAGAAAGACATTCAAGGCCTCATACCAACAAAATAGACAATACAACAAAGGCAGGTGTCATTTGTTCAATTATAAAGTTGACAGGTGTTTTAAATGATTGAATAAAGTTTCCTTGAGAGAGGCTCACATATTTAAAAGAAGAAGAAGAAAAAGGAGGAGGGGGCGAGGAGGAGGGGAAAGGAGTTGGTTTTGCAGGAGTGAGCTCCCCGCCTCCAGCAGAGATTAACGAGGAGCTGGCTACCAGCCCTTAGAGAAGGGGCGTCCAAGGCTGCAGGGAGACCTGGGGCTAAGCGTCTAGCTCCTCAAGCTTCTGTGAACCGCTGACACAACAGCAGAGACTTTGTAGAACAGGTTCTCCGGGACCTAACTTTCTGCATTTCTAAGTTAACGTATCTGGTGCCCACAGGTAAAACCCAGAGCAAAGAGACTGTCCTCGAAGCACTAACAAAGGGCGGGGGCACTGACTCCGAATTCAGGACAAGCCCAGTTGTCCAAGGTAATGTGATGCATGTTTTAGTGTGTCCATGTTCTGTGTGGCCAACCCCTCCGTGAGGGATGAGTTAGCAAGCGCAGCCCAGCCCAGCTGGCCTGGCGTGAGGCAGCTTCCTGCACGGCTCCGCAGAATCGGCCTCAGTCAAGTAGCTGCCCTCGCTGCAGACCGGAAACCAGGAACCAGCAGGTTCGGTGCACCAAGTATCCATCCCTAATTATTGATGGTCTTCAAAAAATAAAATTAACCTCTCCCGCTCCCCCACTTCTCTCTCTCTGCCCCTATCAATATAGGCTGATAGCTATCACATATATACACCAGTAGGTACGTATGTCAGGGTGAGCACGCTCATAATGGGGGCCACACTCAAAATTCTCGGCGACCCCCCTCTAGACCCTCGCTGAGCCGTGTGGCTGGCATGACTCACTATTGTGCGCGTTCTCCATCCTGTTAACCTCCCCCCTCCACCTTAGGGTCAACTTGACCCTGATTGTGTCTAAAAATATAACCTCCTTACACGTCTGAGAAATTAGCCGCCACCTTTGCTACTGGATTACGGCCAGCCTCGGGGCCGTTCCTTCGACAGGTCCCGTGCCCCGGCTGGGCCCCTAAAAGTCCCACGGTTCCACGCCCGAAGCATCATATATCCACCCGATTGCAGGTTTCTTCATTTTTACCTGAAAAGGCATTCTACTTTAACATCTGTATTTTTTTCATCAAACTCACTTGAAAATAAAATGCAAAATACAAAACACACTGTAATGTAGTTCAAGGTTCTGTCAAGGTTAGAAGATCCAGTCATCACTTGAGCCCAGGACCTGGCTGAGGCGGTCATTTCCCTTGGTCCCTTACAAGCCTCGCCTTAGACAGCGGTAGGGGGAAGGTGGCGTGGTCTACAGGCCTGCAAGAGCCGGAACGTCCCGTGTCACAGAAGCAGGATGGGACTTTTTCTGCAGAAATGCTGTGGAAGTCATAACAGTATTGACTTTTATTTATTGAGGGCACATCACCGATGCCTGGCCTCGGCAAGTAAGTTAGCCCAAGTCCCAGATCTCGGATATTACATAAAGACATATGGATACTCGCCTACTAGAGTCACCCTGAAGAGTGACACGAACACGGAAAGTGCTTTATACCAGGGGAGCGTAGACACACCGTCCCAGGAGCCCCGTGTGCAGTTGCTACGTGGGCTCAGCTGTCCACAGAAAACTCCGCACGGGGACAGTAGGACCTCAAATTACCCTCAGATAGTAGGATCAACAACTCCAACTCCCTCTTGAGGACCCTCATCTAGACAAGGAACAATACAGACCGGGTGGGAATTGCTCTCAGATGAGCTGATGGTGGCCAGGAAGGCCCACTGCCCAGCAACAAGGGCAGTGGAAGTGGCCTGGCAGAACCTCAGGGGATGGCCCCCTGGGGCATGGGCTACGGGACCAGAGGTAGAATCCACATTATGCTGAAAAGCATTCTGAGATGGTTTATAGGCCTAAATATAGAAGCCAACACTATGAAGATTCTAGAGGAAACATGGCAGTTTATCTTTTTGATATGACGTTTATGACCTTGGGTAAGCAAAAAAATTTCTTAAATGGGATACACGCAAGAGTATAAAAAAATAAACAAGTGAACTAAGAATTCTCAAGCTAGGAAAAGAACAGAATAAAGCTAAGCCCGTGTGCAATAAATAAATATTGATGCGGCAATTAGTGCACTAAACACAACAAACAGCCGTCATAGCTTTGATTTATAAATTAACAGGTGGTTATTTTTAATATGCTAATACAGTGAATCAAAACCGTTGACAAAGCAGATGGGGAGGGTGACGCATGGCTGGTGCAGATACAGGTGCTTCGGTCCCTGTCTCGGCCTTGCTGCCCTCCCTCCTGCCCTGCCCATGTCCTGTCCCTCGACAACAGGACTCCTGGGGGGTCACCTGTGCTGGTGAAGGTCGTGGGAAACTCCATCGCCAGCCAAGCCAGAGGGGTCTTTCAGCAGAGTGCTGTGTGCAGATTTCGGCCCTGGGCCCGTGTTTGTGGGAGCAACTTTCCGAACAAGCCAAGCGGGGCCCGACCACTCGCAGCAGAGACCTCTCCCCTGAGAAGACAAAGCTGGAGCTGAGGCTAAGAAAACAACCACATCCGACTTGGAGGGATTAAAATGAGCCATGCAAGCGAGACCAACATGAGAAAAGAAGCAGGAGCCATAACAAGTTACCTCGTGATTTACAAAATGATGTTAGAATTTCTCAGAACAAAAAAACTGGTCAAGGAAACTGGAAACGTGACCTAGGCCATGATAACTAGCGAGAAGGGCCTTGACCCCTGAGCAGAGGCCAGGGCAGCCAGGCCCAAATGCCCCAAATGCCCCAAATGCCGGAAGCCCGGGTGACCTTGGAGGAACATTCTAGATGTCCTCTAGTAAAATGTATTCTCCACGAGGCATTGGTGGAAAACCATATTTCAGGTCTCTGGGATCTTTTGTTTATATAATTCGAGACAAAAGGGAGGAAGAAAGTCCCTACAATCTGCCAAGAATCCTCTCACTCCCTGGAGGATTTTATCTGGATCCTCTGCAAGAGGAAAGGGGAGAGGGGAGCACCAAATACACAGCTCTTCCTGCGTGGGGTGTCGGGGGGTAAGAGTCAAACTTGCATCCACA